AAAGGAGGAGGCAGTTTACAAGTTCCTAGTGAAAGAAAGAGTGAAGACTGGCATTTTCTAAGGCTTGCTAAAATTAGCACCTCTATACCCAGGATGTGCAGAGACATGGTAGGAGAGGTTAAGCTGCTTCGTCTCCTATCCATCAGGGTATCTTGTAGCAGCCCTAATTTAACCAGATATAAAAACAAATGACAGATGCCTGCACCATAAATATTCCTTTTTTAAAGTCATTTTTGTCACAAACAACTCATTTCCTTCATTTGAATTCCTAAGTAATACACAACTTGTTTGTAAAATAAAATGGGGTCATATGTCAGCATATTAGAGGGGTTTTTTGTTTGTTTTTGTTTTAGTATTTCCTAGTTCCATTTAGAATTGGCTTTTGTTAGATTTTACTTATGCAGCAACTCATAGCAAACAAGTAAATAAATAAGGTAGTTGTAATTCAAGAGATGATTCAAATGAAAACAGGATTATCTTGGGAGTATTCACTCTAAATGTGAATTCTCAAATGCTTATAATTTCTTCAAACATTACTGTGGTTAAAATATATTTCGGATTTGATTTCAATGGGCTCAGTTATCTGACGTGAACAGCAGCATATTAAATCTTTGCATAATACATTCTTGAAATGGCTTGCATATTAGTCACTAAGCAGTTATTAAATTTTGCTTTTAAAGTTTTCTAAATCTTCTCTCCACAGCTTTATCCCCATAGAGAAAAAAGTAACTCAAACAAAAATTTTTCTGTTTACTGCAATAGCTATTTACTTATCTGTGCACCAGGTTGAGAAATTATGGAACAAGGATTCATGTATTTGCCCATAGAGTATCTTGCATAGACATTGGCTTGAATTTTCATTTATATTTTCAATTCATAAAAGGATTATATATTTTGACCCCCTTATAAACTGAATGACAGTAGAAAACAGAGCACGATTTTCCACTTGCTGTTTAATTGATGTTGACAAGTCACTTTAAACTCTCTAAACTTCATTTAGCTTATTTGTAAATGAGGATAAAAATACTGCCTGTTAGGACAAATGACATAATGTTAAAGTGCTGTGACAACTGTAAAATTTTATGTAACTGTAAAATGTTTTATATTATTATGCTACTTTTATAAGAATGAAAACCATCTGGTTATTTCCCCATCATGCCTACTATAAAAAGAGAAAAGGACAGAGAAACACTGGTTTAGAGTGGTCTGAGAGTTTGTTATTAAAGGTTTCAAATTTAAGAAAAATTTTCCTAACAACTAAAATATTATAGGTTAAAGCTAAAATTCAGAGGCAATCTAATCTAGCCACTTTAGTTCTACATATAAGGAAAGAAAGACCCATGAAGGCTAAACATTACAACATACAAACCAAACAGTCACAAATGATGGTAGAATGGGAAGAACTAAAGAAATTTTAAATGTCCCAATTTGTTTGTGGGTCATTCTTAGATAGAATTATAATAAAGGGGTAGAATTAGAGTTAGTGGCAGGGGCAGGTTTAGAGTTTGAGTTAAAGTTCTTGTCAAATTATAGCATTTTAGTAACTTACTTTTTAGCCAACCTTACCTAATAATAGACAAACATGTAAATTGACCATACCTTCGCTACACTAACCAGCCAATCAGGAGAGTATGCAAATTAACCTAACAAAGATGGCAGTTAATTTGTATATGTAGGCTCCAAGTGGTGGAGTGAAGCCTGATGGCCTGGGGGCCAGAGCAGCAACGGCCCTGCGGCCAGCGGAGCAGCGAAAGCCTCACGGCCCCGGGGCTGGCGGAGCAGCAAAAGCCTCACGGCCCTGGGGCCGGCTCCGGCTGGAGCCCGGCCAGAGCGAAGGCCTGGGTGCCGAAGGAAAACCGGTGCCAGCAGCCAGGGGAAAGGAAGGCCTATTGCACGAATCTCTTCGTGCAATAGGCCGCTATTTATAAAATAAAAATGATGATTATGAGAACACACAAATGGTTTTGTATCAAGCACTCTAAGAGATAGATGTCTATACAAATATCTATATCTATCTATCCAAATATCTATATCTACCTATCTATCTGTCTACTATTGATATAATGTGTATTTACATACAATCACAGTGTGTTCATCCTTACAACTTAATTATTCTTTCTTTACAGGTAAGGAAACTAAGACACAAAGTTTAAGGAAGTGGCTGTGTCAAGCTTTCAGGCAAGATTGACTGGCCGTTGGGCCTTTTTTAATTTACTTTTATGATGAATGGGTGTTAGATTTTGTCAAATGTTTTTACTGTATCAATTGATATGATAATGTGCTGTTTCTTTTTTTAACCTATTGATATGATGGATTACATTAATAGATATTTAAATTTCAAAATCAGCCTTGCATACCTGGGTTAAATGCCTCCTGATTTTTTCATAACCATATACTTATGAGCTCTTTATCTCATAGTGGAAATATATTTTAAAAGGAACTTTATGCTTTTGTGATTATTTAACTTTACAAATTCTGATGTATTCACATTAATGAGAAATGAAAAGAATGCAAAGGACTGTATTGACAGAAAAAAGTAGAGAATGGGAAGAATTTGTTACCAAGGCTTAAGTTGAAAATGTCATAAAATTATGAGTCCATTATTTTTGAACGTAATATTTTGGCCCAATTTTTATGATATTAGAAAGTGAGATATAACTAGCTTAGCACCAGCTATGTCTTAAAAATGCACATTCCATATGATCCATTCATTCTACTTCAAAGTCTTAAAATACTCAGCAATAAAGTTTAATGTAATATTCTAAGTAATAAAATATGCACTTTCCCTAGAAATATGAGAGCACATGTACATTCAAAGACTTGTGCATGGATGTTTACATTAGCTTCATTTGTAGTAGCCCCAAACAGAAAACACCCCAAAGTCTATTAACAGCTGAATGGATAAACCCTGGTAAATTCATGTATTCTAATTCTACTCAGCAATAAAAAGGAATGATGTTACAACACAAACCGGTACTAGACTGCATGATTCCATTCATGTAAAATTCTAAGAAATATTCATATATAGTTTCAAAAAGCAATCAGTGGTTGACTGTAGAGGATGGTTGACTGTAGAGGATGACCGAGAATGTCAGGAGGAAGGAACTAAAAGGAGGCATGAGAAAAATGTGGGGATGATTGACATGTTCATTACTTTGGTTGTGGAGATGGTTTTAAGGGTGTAAACATGTCAATACAATAAAGTATACATATATAAGAAGCATATTAGAAATATTTTTTATATCCTTTTAGGTTTCTTCTTTGTTGTCATTAAAGGCAACAAAGCAAATCCTTTGCAGTTATTACATATTACAGTAAATCTCATAAAGATCAAATTATATAATATGTAATTATATACTCCACAACAGAAAGATTTACAATGAAAATAAATAAAAAATGTACTGTGTCAGTTTGAAGTTATCTTTGTTGACAAAAGTTGTTAACCAAAAAAACCTGGAGGTGCTGAAAGTCACAAGACATACAAAGACAAGCTCCAAGACAGATTACTTTTTTCTTTGTCCACATATGCTCTTTGTCATCAGGAAAATATTAAAATCAGAGAGACTGAACATATAGAACTAATAAAACATGGCATTAAAATGTCATTGAATGGGACTACATCACACTGAAAAGTTTTTGCATAGCAAAGGAAATCATCAACAGAATGAAACACAACCCACTGAATGGGAGAACATATTCGCCAATGATACATCTGATAAGAGGTTAATATTCAAACTTTATAAAGAACTTATAAAACTCAACACCAAAAAAGTAAATAATCCAATTAAAAAATGCTCAAAGGACTTCAATAGATACTTTTCCAAAGGGGACATACAGATGGCCAATCGACATATGAAAAGATGCTCAACGTCACTAATCATCAGAGAAATGCAATTTAAAACCACAATGAGACATCACCCCACACCTGTCAGAATAGCTATCATCAATAAACAAACAAACAACAAGTGTTGGTAAAGATATGGAGAAAAGGAAAACCTTGTTCATTGTTTATAGGAATGCAGATGGGTGCAGCCACTGTGGAAAACAGTATGGAGTTACTACAAAAAATTAAAATGGAACTGCCTTATGGCCCAGTGATTCCACTTCTGAGAATTTACCCAAAGAAACACAAAACACTAAGTCGAGAAAGAATATATACACCATTATGTTCATTGCAGCATTATTTACAACTAGAGGCCCAAATCGGGCCTAAACTGGCAGTGGGACATCCCTCTTGCAACCCAAGACCGCTGACTCCTAACCGCTCGCCTGCCTACCTAATCACCCCTAACCACTCACCTACCTGCCTGATCACGCCTAACCACTAGCCTGCCTGCCTGATCGCCCCTAACTGCTCACCTGCCTGCCTTATGGCCCCTAATCACCTCTGCCTTGGCCCCCGTAGCCACAGCTTGTCTGGAAGGACGTCCAGAAGGACGTCCGGACATTTGTTCGGCTGTTCGATCTAATTAGCATATTATGCTTTTATTATTATAGATAGCCAAGATTTGGAAGCAGCCCAAGTGTCCATCAAGAGATGAGTGGATAAAACAGCTATGGTACATTTAGACAATGGAATACTACTCGGCCATAAAAAGGAAGAAAATTTACCCTTTGTGACAACATGGACAGAACTGGAGAACATGCTAAGTGAAATAAGCCAGTCAGAGAAAGACAAAGACCTTATGATTTCACTCATATGTGGAATTTAATGAACAAACTGAACTAACAAGCAAAATAGAGACAGAATCATAGTAGAGCACATAGACAGCTCTGTTGGGGAGGGGAGTTTGAGAGGGGGTAGAAGGATTAAGCAAAAAAGGGGAAAAGAAAAATGAAAGAACTCTTTGGACATGGACAACAGTGTGGTGTTTGCGGAAGTGGAGGAGGGTGGGTGGAGGTAGAAGAGGGTATAGGGGGATAAATGGTGATGGAAAATAAAACAAAATAAAATAATTTAAAATAAAATGTCATCATGGAAACTTCTAATATGCTATTACCTGAAATCAGTTCCATAATGATGTAGATCGGCTGTCTCTGTGTGCAAACTCCTATAAGTTTGACAATATTGGGATGATCGTATTGCTTGAGAATTCTGGATGAGAAAAGAATAAGAATAATTATGCATTAACCTATGATTATAAGTAATGTACACAAGTAGAATATAGTTTAATCAATATAACTCATTTTTTAAAACTTCAGTGTGAACCCAAATTGTAATAGGATATATGCAAATTTTGATAAATCTTGGCAAAATAGAGGTACAAATCAGTCAATTATCCTTAATTCCATTAAATATTCATTTAAAATTATTATTCACTCTGAATGACTAACAACCATGCTAAATAGGAATAACTTACTTAGTCTAAAACATTTAGAACTCTCTTCCAAATATCTGGACTTAGCCACCCACCACCACAAAAACATAGCTGAAAAGCATGTGAACTCAAAACTGTAAGCTTCTAGGGTAACATCTTTTTGTTTTGCTCTATGTACACACTTGATTTAAAATACTTAAAAATAAGAATCTAATTCATGTTGATAAACACCATCAGGTAATCCCTTCATTAAATTTTATAATCAGAGCTTTCTTGCTGACCATAATCAATCTCAAAATAGTAAGAACTCAAAAGTTTTGAGAAAGCTGTCAAAAGGTTAAATAATAACTGAGTAACAGAGTTTCAGTATCAAGTTAAGCTGAAGCAGAGAAGGCTTAGTTTGGATAAGGCAAAATTTCAGTGGGTTATAAAATAGCACAGACTCCTAGCTCGAGTTAAAAGTAGATTCAATTCCCTCAGAGGCCTGTCTACCCTGGTGATTTCTATTACCAAATTTTACTCCACATTATTCTATTGACATAGTTATAAGCTCACTTATATTTCAAAGATGCAGTTTCCTTGCCTAAGAGAATGAAAAATAACATTATTTAGAGAAAGATAAAACAGTTTATATAAATTTTATACATGTACAACTAAAGCAGGGATACATCTAAGAAAAATGTTTTATACTGGAAATACAGATTGATTTATAAATGAAAAAATAAACTTGAAAGAATTCTAGAAATAAGGGAAATATTCTGACAATAACTTTGAATTTGCAACTTCTACAAAGAATTAAGAAGACAGTTTTAAAATGTTTGACTTTAATTCAAAATGTCATTTCTGAAGCTGGAAATTGCTTATTAAAGAAATTCCAAAAAACAGCCAGCCTGAATTCCAATAACATTAAATAGCTAACTATAGAGCTCTATCATCTATTAAAGTACACTTAAAAGTTTTTGCATGGATATAATTTTATTTATTTATTTATTTAATTAATTATTCATTTATTTATTAAATATATATTATTGATTTTACAGAGAGGAAGAAAGAGGAATAGAGAGTTAGAAACATAGATGAGAAACACTAATCAGCTGCCTCCTGTAAACCCCCTACTGGGGATCAAGCCTGCAACCAGAATCGAACCCAGGACTCTTCAGTCCAAAAGCTGACATTCTATCCACTGAGCCAAACCAGTCAGCGCTATAATTTTTATTATTAAAATAAAACAATCTCATTTTAGAAAAGCAAGATAAACTCTCTATTTTTCAATAAAACAATCACAAATTAGAAAAGAAAAAAATTAAAGATTTTTGAAAATGTTTGATATAATTTATACCATAAGAATACCTATGGATGTCCTAATATATAAAAACCCAAGGTCCATAACAACCGACCGAAGGCTCGACCGAACACCAGAAGTCAGTCCTGCAGTGAGTGCTGGGTCGCCATGCAGCAACCCAGCACTGACTGCCAAGGGGTCTGTGGATCAGGCCAAGAGAGAGGCCCAGAGAGAGAGACAGGGTCTGATCCGCAGCCTCCATAGCAGCTATTGATCAGCCGTTGCCTCTTTCTCTCCATGCTTTGCCAGCAGCCACGCCTCTGTTTCTCTCTGGGCCTCCATGGGGGCTGCTGATCAGGCCCAGAAACACTGACTGGCATAGAAACCGACCAATCAGAACCAAATTGGTCAGCAGGGTAGGGCAGTTGGAGGCGAGATCAGCCAGCAGGGGAAAGAAGTTAAGGGTGATCAGGCAGGCAGGCAGATGCAGTTAGGGGCAATCAGGCAGGTAGGTAGGCAGGTGAGCGGTTAGGACCAGTGGTACCCGATTGCGAGAGGGATGTCCGATTAGAGAAGGTGCAGGCTGGGCTGAGGGAAACCCCCCTCCATGCACGAATTTTGTGCACTGGGACACTAGTCTATAAAATAATAAATCTATGAATTTAAAATCTTTGAACTTATTAGAGTATTTTTTCTAAATTGCCAAAAATACACCTGAAACGGGGTTTCAACTTTATTCTGTAGATAATATTCAATAAATGAATGCATCATACCAGTTTACTCTTTTGCTATCAATACTCATTTTCAGATAAATGGAGAAATGTACATGAAAATGCTCCATGCCATGGGACTTAGTTCACTCACTGCCATGTTCCCTCATTGCCATATCCTCTGTTCTCCATGACACTTTACAAAAACTTAAATTTTATACACTAGATCATGATGGAGACACACATACCCCCCAATATACTCACACCTCCCTCTTTCCCTTTACACCAGGGGTGAGGCATGTCAGGCCCTCGAAATCATTTGGTCTGGTACTGCCAAGGCATTAGGGGTGAGTTAATTAAATGTTTAATCAAATAAAGCAGGCAAATTTTTAAGTTGATAACTTTGTGTGGCCCGCGAATAATGTTATAAATATCCAAATAGATGTTGGCAGAAAAAAGGTTCCCCACCCCTGCTTCACACCAACAATCTATAGATCCATCTATTTTCCTCCTCTCCCATTCATCCATCCATCTCCCAAACATATGTCTATCCTCACTCAGTCCAAAAACCTTTCAATTTGTTTTGTGCTTCATTGTATAAACTAGATGTTACAATTAACCGAATGGTTTTAACTATCTGCCATACAGAGGTAGCAAATTGGAACATTAAATTTTAGCTAAAAATAGGAAAAAGACAATCATCTAAAAAGATCAATTAGAAAAGAAACAATATGCAAATTCCAGAACAAATGCCACACACTAAATTAAAGAAGGCATATGAGGTTCTTAGAAAAGAAAACTAACAAATGGAAAAAAAGAATTAAGTGACAATATCTAAGTAAGTAGGGGAGATGAAGTTATATATCTAAATATTTATGTAAACTATCCTATCTAATAAAAGAAAGCATGGTAATTAGCGTACAACCGCTACCCTTCCCATTGGCTAATCAGGGCAATATGCAAATTAACTGCCAGCCAAGATGGCGGCCGGCAGCCAGGCAGCTTGAAACTAACATGAGGCTTGCTTGCTTCAGTGATGGAGGACTCCAACATTCCCGCCTGCCGCTGCCGGCCTCTGAGCTGCAACTCTAAGCAACCTTGTTACAAATATAGAAGCTAAACAAAACCCCAGAAACCTGCTTTAGTCCGCCGGGCTTCAGCCAGCAGGATCGCAACATTGTAAGCAAAGGCGAGAAATGAAAGCAGTGGAGGCCTAAGAGCTGGAGCCAAGCCTCAAAGCTAAAGCTGGCCCAGAATAAAAAAAAAGAAAAGAAAAAAAGGAGCGGTTGGGAGCTTCAGTCACTCGCCAGCCTGAAAACAGCCCTCAGCCCCTCACCCAGGCTGGCCAGGCACCCCAATGGGGACCCCCCACCCTGAAGGGTGTGTGACCAGCTGCAAACAGCCATCATCCCCTCACCCAGGCTGGCCAGGCACCCCAGTGGAGACCCCCACCCTGATCCAGGACACCCTTCAGGACAAACCAGTCAGCCCCACCCATGCACCAGGCCTCTACCCTATATAGTAAAAGAGTAATATGCCTCCCAGCACCGGGATCAGCAGAGCCGAGAGGCCTCCTGGCACCAGGATCAGTGTGACAGGGGGCAATGCCCAAACCCCCTGATCACCCTGTGGCTCTGTGTGTGAGAGGGGGCGGGGCCACAACCTCCCTATCCGCCCTGCTCTGTTCCTGACAGGGGAAGGCGCCCCAACCCCCTGATCAGCCCTGCTCTGTGCCTGATAGGGGGAGCTCCCCAACTCCATGATCGCCCTGCAGCTCTGTGTGTGACAGGGTGCAGCGCTCCAACCCCCTGATTGGCCCTGCTCTGTGTGTGACAAGGGGCAGCGCCCCAACCCCCTGATTGGCCCTGCTCTGTGTGTGACGGGGTAGAGCCATAGCCTCCCCATCGGCCCTGCCCTCAGTGTGAGAGTGGCAGCGCCCCAACCCCCTGATCGGCCCTGCTCTGTGGGTGATAGAAGGCGGCGCCCCAACCCCCACCCCACGGGCCCTGCTCTGTGTGTGATGGGGTAGAGCCATAACCTCCCCATCGTGCCGGGGTCCAGCCCCAGCAGGTCCAGGGGTCCCCAAAGGCGTGGATGGAGTCGGCGAAGAAGGAAGGACACGGAGACAGTGTTCAGTTGATCAGCAGCCTAGCCAGGATCTCCAGCCAGGATCTCCAGCCAAGTTCTGGTCTGGATCTCCAGAGAGGTTCTGCTTAGGATCTCCTGCCAGGGTCTGTGTCCATGTTCTGTTGCTAGGTTCTCCAGCCAGGTTCTGTCCAGGTTCTCCAGCTGGGTTCAGTCACCAGGTTCTAGTCAGGTTCTCTTGCCAATTTCTGTAGTCAGGTTCAGTCCAGGATCTTTTGCCATGTTCTCTCCAGCGAAGTTCTTCTGTCTCTCGTTCTGTGTAGGTTCTGTCTTCTTAGTTCTGTGTTCTAAGCTCTGTATTCTAAGTTCTGTGTTCTAAGTTCTGTGTCTTGCTGTCTTATTACATCTGTATTTATACCAGTTGATTCAATCCTATCAATCTCTATTACAAAGGTTAGGGCGTTTCTTATTTCCATTCCAGGGAGTAAAGATTATGTAGCTTAAGCATGATTGTTCGTAGTTAAAGTGATTAATTACCCACCTGGCACTAGTTAAGAGGTTTTATTCCCTCCCTAACTTCAGGGGAAAATCCCTACCTGGGGAAACAACCTTTCTCAGAGACCTTGGTTAAAACACATAGTGCCAAGAAGGTGAGCAAACATATTAAGAACAGTATGCCATATATGCCAGGTCCCTTGAAACAGCAAGGATGGACCGGCTCCCGGCACCATCGGCCCTTCCCTGAGTGTGACAGTGGCGGCGCCCCAACCCCCTGATCGGCCCTGCTCTGTGGGTGATAGAGGGCGGTGCCCTCACCCCCTGATCCACCTTGCTCTGTGTGTGACAGGGGGCGGTGCCCCAACTCCCCTATCGGCCCTACTCTGTGAGTGACAGGGGGGAGCTCCCCAATCCCCTGATGGGCCCTGCTCTGCGCATGACAGGGGGCAGCGCCCCAACCCCGATGGGCCCTGCTCTGTGCATGACAGGGTACGGAGCCCCAAACCCCTGATTGGCCCTGCTCTGTGTGTGACAGGGGGTGGCACTGCAACCTCCCTATCGACCCTGCCTTGAGTGTGACAGGGGGCGGTGCCCCAACCCCCCCAATCGGCCCTACCCTGATCGTGACTGAGGGTGGTATTGCAACCTCCCAATCCGCCCTGCTCTGCGCATGACAGGGCGGTGCCCCAACTCCCCAGTCAGCCCTGCTCTGAGCCCGACCAGGGGCTGCACCTAGGGATTGGGCCTGCCCTCTGCCACCCTGGAGCAGGCCTAAGCCAGCAGGGCGTTATCTCCCGAGGGGTTCCAGACTGCGAGAGGGCACAGGCCAGGCTGAGGGACCCCCCTCCGCCCCCGAGTGCACAAATTTTTGTGCACCGGGCCTCTAGTATATTTTATATGTAGAATATAGTAATATTTTTATTATAAGGAAAATCACAATTTTGCATATATACATATGTATGTATATGTATGTGTGATAAAAGCAAAAAATACTGCAATTTTTTTTCAAAGACTTGAAGAATACTCACTGTTTTTTAGCACCTGGTTCTTTTCACTGTGCTTACCTAAAGCACTCAAAAACAGAAACCTTCTGATTCCACATTGTATAAGTGCTTACTTTTGGACAAGGGCTCTGAAAATGCTTATTTCCACTTTAGCAAATTATAATTTATGATATCTTCAAAGTTACATTTTAGTGAGTCATTTATATTATAAATACACACTTGACATAATTTTAAAGAACTCACTTGGCTTCTTGTAAAAATTTTATTTTCAGTTCCTGAGGAAGATCTTCTTTACATGTTTTAACAGCAACAGCAGTTTTATCCTTTAATATGCCTTTATATACTTCACCAAAATTTCCCTGAAAATACAAATACACTCATTGTTTGAGGGGTAAGACAGCCACATAAATCTTCACAAAATACAAAAAAAGCATGTAATGGTACATTTTTAATTAAAGCATTCAGCATTATTCAGAGTTTGAAGTGGAAATCAAGATTGGGAATGTTGCTCTTATGAATGCTCTCAAGTTTAAATATGCTACTCAATACACCAAATATTTGGGGACAACTGAAAATGAAAATAGGGAAAAAATTTAAGAAAATAGGACAAAAGGAAAAACTCAAATTTCACATTGTCAAAATATCTGAGTTTCATTACATCCAGTTTCCTTTATCTGCAATTTATTAAATTTAAAAAATTACCCATTAATGTTTGAAGATAAAGCAGAGATTTTGCAAGGTGACTGTTGGTGTTGAGCCACACAGCTATATGTCAGTTGGAGAGGAATGAGAGTAAGAGACTAGGGCAGAGACAACAGAACTAGGAAGACGAAGGACTGTCAGCCACTGTTGTAGGCTGTCAGTCTCTGGAAGGTACCAAGGAAGAAGAGGTTCTTATCCAAATGCCCATGTCACTGGTGATGAATTCATTTTCTATCAAATGTATGAACACCTAACCTTATTCTATGGCAAAAACATATTTTGACTTAAGGTGCCTAATTTCCAGTTTGAAGTCATTTTTCTTTTATTATAAGCACAAAACATTACAGAGAAGACCTATAAGGCTAACACAATAATTATTTTTTAGTGTTCTCTTAAAGTTTTTCTACATATGCTTATATGTTTTTATAAAGCTACTAGAGGCCCGGTGCAAAAATTCATGCATGGGGAGGGGTCCTTCAGCCCGACCTTCACCCTCTCCAATCTGGGACCACTCGGGGGATGTCCGACTGCCTCTCACAATCCGGGACCGCTGACTCCTAACTACTCATCTGCCTGCCTGATCACCCCTAACCACCTCTGCCTGCCTGCCTGATCTCCACTAACTGCTCCCCTACTGGCGTGATCGCCCCTAACTGCTCCCCTGATGGCCTGATCACCCCTAACCACCTCTGCCTCGCCCTGCCCCCAGGACCCAGGATTCCCTCCTCTGGCCAGTTGCAGACACCCGGGGCCCAGGCTTCCCTCCCCCTGGCTGGCTGCAGGCATCCAGGACCCCGGCTGGCTTCACCCGGGCCGGCCGCAGCTGCAAGGGACCGTGGGCGGGCAGCTTCATCTGGGCCGCAGCTGTAGGTGCCCAGGACCGTGGGATAGGCATCTTGTCCCTTTCCTGGGCCATAGCTGCAGGCACTGGTGCCCAGGACAGTGGGGCGTGTGGCTTGTCCCTCTCCTGGGTCGCAGGAGCAGCTGCTGGTGCCCCAGACTGTGGGGCGTGCGGCTTGTCCCTCTCTTGGGCTGCAGCCTAGCTGGTCCACATTCCTCTCTCACGAGCTCATTTGTGCCTAGATGGTCCCCATTCCTCTCTCCCCAGTGTTGAGCATCTCAGCCTTATGGCATGATGGTGTGAGGGTGTGATGACCATTTGCATATTAGCTCTTTATTATATAGGAGAATAAGAATAAGAATAAGAATAAGAATAAGAATAAGAATAAGAATAAGAATAAGAATAAGAATAAGAATAAGAATAATATGCAAGCATCCTATATAAGAAAACACTAATATGCAAATCAACCGAATGTTGGAATGACTGGCGGAACGACCCTCGGGGGACTGGGCCTAAACCAGCAGGTGGACATACCTCAAGGGGTCCTGGACTGCAAGAAGGTGCAGGTTGGGCTGAGGGACACCCCTTGCAGTACATAAATTTCGTGCACCAGCCATCTAATTATATTATAATAAGCTTCAATATTATTCTTGTTGAGCAAGAAGTAGCTGAAGTAGGAGACTACTCATTATTGAGTTTTCTGAGTTCTAAGGTTCATATAACTCTTAACCAATAGTTCAAGGCATATACTTTTTACATGTTACCAATAAATAATTTAACATTATTAAAAAATAAAATACTTTTGAACATTTTAAGTATTACTTAATATTTTACTTAATTTTAAAATTAGTTTACTTAAACTTTAATCCACTTAAATATTAAGATAATAAATTGTTATTGAATCTAATATTTAACTCTTAAATATTTAAAAGCAATGATTGATTATAAATTCAACATAATACACATTTATCATGAGTTAGAAAAAGAAAAATGTGAGCTTTTACATCCTTCCATGTTTGTTATTCTCAAAGTTCCCCCATTATCAGATCATTAATATATCATAGATAGAGCTGAGAGAAGATATTAATATGCACAATTACTGCTGGGCCTCTACTTATCTGAATGATTCTGAAGCACTTATAATTTAACTCGTTTAAAACTTAATGTTTTACTCATTAGACTTTTCTTAACTAAATTACCTTTTTCATTTACTAGGGCCGTCATTAATTCTCTCTGCAAGCATTCAGATTCTACCTCTGCAATATTTGTGTCTTCTGCCTTACATCTCAGAAAGGTCACCCTGATTCAAAATCTTAAGTTTATCACCTACACTGATCTGTCAGTCACTCACTCCTTCAATTCATCCACCATAGCACTGCCAGATTATTCTTTCTAAGAGACAACTTACTTCCTTAGTCAAAATTCATCCTTGAATTACCATCACCATCTCAGCCTCTGTCTAGCTCCACAATATAGACTCTAACTGTTACACATGTCCTAAACTCAAGCACTTAGTGATCTCCAAATATGTGCCATGCCTTTTCTACATTTTTTTAAAAAATGTATTTTATTGATTTTTTACAGAGAGGAAGGGAGAGAGATAGAGAGTTAGAAACATCGATGAGAGAGAAACATTGATCAGCTGCCTCCTGCACATCTCCTACTGGGGATATGCCCGCAACCCAGGTACATGCCCTTGACCGGAATCGAACCTGGGACCTTTCAGTCCGCAGGCCGACGCTCTACCCACTGAGCCAAACCGGTTTCGGCCTTTTCTACATTTTTATCTTTCATGGAAACCATCCCCCAACTCCAATCAGGAAAACGCTAACTCATTTTTAAGTTCATTTGACAGGCACAACTTCATCTCTGCTACTGACCTTAAGTCCACGAGGCTAAATATTATGTCTGTTATCTATTTTCATGCCATTCCTCATAAGATCTTGGTCCTAGGTTAATCCTCATCTCCTCCTTCTTAGCCTTCATTAGATTCTGTAGACTCCTATTCAACCGTCTATATCAAAATTTTCCCCTTCTATCCCCAACTTTTACTGTGCCTTCCGGAATCCATGGTTCATCATTATAAAAATTTTATCTTCCATGCATTTTTTGGTCATTCTCTTCACCTTCTTGTTCCAATAGAAACTTTGTTCTCACTTGAAAATACGCAAATGGTAGATGATTTTCCTTTAGTCTTCTAAACTTAAGTCATGACTCCCCCATTCAAGCCTTCTCCCTCTGCCCAGATTTGGGATAAAGTATTTACTAGTTCTTTGTTAATATTTTCGAACCATTTTTCCTCCTACATTCCTAAAAACAAAATTCAAACAAACAAACAACAAAACAAAAAAAAACACCCAGCTCTGAAGCTTTATACCAACTGAACAACTGTTCCTTACTGTGGCTATAAGCTATTGAATTTGAAAAGATTTTGCTTCATTTATAGACAATTTGAGCTCCTGGTCACTATACCCTGTGTTATTCTCATTTTAATTCTTGGCAATTTCAATAGACACCCAAAAATCTGTACAACAGTTCAAACTCAACTTTGTTTTGTTGTTGTTTTTTTAACATTTCTCTTTCAATGATCTTCTATTTTGAACTATTTCTAGATAATACCTTAAACTTTGCCATTGCCAATAATGCAATTCCTCTATAATATCTATGTCATTCATCCTGTTTTCTGGCTGGCTTCTATGTTTCTAACTTACTTCCTCTATTATCTAGACCACAAAAATCCTTTCACCCTGTAAGAATCTAAAGATTTTGAGGTTCTATTATTCATTGTCCATCACCCCCTTAATATCCTTTTTTCCTTCCTTATTCAGCTTAAATTCCATGGTCAATAATAATTACAACTGCTTACCATACATTGCCAACATTTTGTTCCTCTTAATCTGTACAACTCCCTTGTCAAATCCACAACCCAAATCTACTAACTCTGCACTTAGGCAGCCAAATGGGACTGAAGAAAGCCCACAACCATGCTGACTAGACTCACTTTAAATTCATGAACACAATTCTTTCAACATTAAAGAAATCTTTTTTAAAAAATTCATGAACACAAACCTCCTTAATGCTGCTCAATAATCATATTACAATTCTGTAGAAAATTCACACTCTCATTCTTCTAAATAATGGCTTTCCCCTTCTACTCTCTTCTTAAGTCCCCTACTCTTCCTCCCTCCATCCTTATTCTTAGCTAATAATCTTGCTTGTTAGTACACTGAGAAAACTGAAGCAATCTACTAGTAAAGAGAACTTTCAGGCTCTCAGCCCCACATTTACCCTACCCACCTACCAATCTTCCTTGCTGTTATAAAAATGAACTATTGTGCTCTTATTGAAGTCAATTCTCCATTGTAAATTAAATTTACTCTTATCTACTCAATGACATTACTCTACCAATTCTCATCTCTCCCTCCCAAATCATAAATTTGTCACTAGATCATTCCCAGCTGCAAACCAGCATGCCTACAAGGCACTACATGACCGATACCCTCACCAACTCACTGACTTCCTGTCCTATCATATTCCTCCTTGTTTACTCAGTTACAGCCAAATGATCTCCCTTGTTCTTCAGATGAAATTTGCACTGGTTACTCCCTCTATCTAGAACCCTCTTCTTTAGATGTCCACATGGCTAAATCCCTTCTCTCCAAGTTTTAATTTGAAAGTAACAATTTTAATCAGGCTTACCCGAATTTCCTTATTAAAAATGGCAACTTCTACTTATAGCACTCCTAAACTCCCAGTATTTTCCACAGGACTCAGCACCCTTTAACATTATAAAATTTACTATTTATTATTTTTATTGTTTATCAGCCTTCCCCTGCTAGACAGAATAAAAGCTCCAAAAGGGCATTGTTCACTGAGGATTGAGTAAATATTTATTGAACACCAACTATACATCAAGAACTGTCTAGTAAGAGTATAGTACTCAAAAAATTAGAATTCTTGTCTCAACCTTATTTTACCACTAATATACAATACATTAAAAGTATTTATTCAGAATTGGCAGTGAAAATATTAAATGACAAATCATGTTCTATTTAAAATATTAGCTGAAATGAAGCTATACCATTATCATTAAAGTTGCAGTCTTTTATTAAAATGATTAAATATTTTTGAAATTGACATCATGCTACTGCCTTATCACTGGGAAACATAACTATTCTTTGAAATACACTTACAAATAAAATAGAGGCTAAAATTCCTCCTGATACACTATTATTTCACATATTCAACTAAATATAAAAATAATTGAAATATTTTTGTTTTTTCCCAAGTACTAAAAATAATCTGTCCCCTTCAACACATGATATTTCAGTAAGTGATTTAATTGGATGATTTATTATTTAATTATATTTTCATGGAAATTTATTTAATTTCTTTGTAATAATTTTTGGCCAAATCAGTACTACTGAGTTAATGACCTAAAGTAACAGAAAGAAGAAATATTTCCTTAAGAATGACAAGCATATAACAGAGGAAAAAAACACATCACCTAATGCTTTAGCTTGAAATGCTTTAGAAATTACTTCCTAAATAAGTAATTGCAGTCAATAAAAACTGCTAGCCAGGAGTACTTTCATGCTTCCGTTTTGAAAAGATATTTTAAAATACTAATAAAAATCCTGTGAAGTAAATCACTTCAACAGGGATTTACTTTCTTAAAATATGTAACAGTTAAAAAAATAGGAAACATTTTGTCAATTCATCATGTTTACATTTAAAACAAAAAAGTAATGAATAATCATTTTTCACTTAACATGCTGAACTGTAAGTCTAATACTGATAACTCAGAAATGTATCAGTGATAGTTCTCACAAAATATCTTGATTTTACTTTATTTTTTCACATTGCATTATGAAACTAAATTCAAAATAGTTAATGGTAACATCACTAATTAAGCCATTGACAAAGAAGTTTACATTTACCATTGGAACTCAATTATAAATAAACAATAAATTGGCAAGTAGTCCATTTGATTATCAAAAGTTTGCCATTATTGTTAAATATAATACTTTCAAATGGCCTATGACTTGAAAGAAACTTCCAACTAGACTTCTAACCATTAATAGAGCTAGCTACAAAATGAATATTTATACTGAAATATGTGTCTTGTAGATACAATATTTAGGTAAAATAACATGTCCAATGTTGTTATATACTGTGATTCTATACAGAGTTTTGAAATCCCAAGAGCAGTACTAGTATTTTACATTTTCTGGTTACACATGATAGTTTTTAAAAGTCAAAAATTATCTTTAAACCTCTCAAAGGTTTTCACACATCTATTTCAGTGACCATCCAGATGGTCTGTGGTACTGTGCTCTTCCAGGTTAATGTGGAAGGTGCCTTGTTGTGTGCCGGAACATAAGAAGGGTTGGAGGAAAATACTCTACAGAGTTCTCAATCACTATAAAGACTGTCAGTTATTTACTTCACTTGATTACATACCTTGCCCAGTAATTCACCCAATGTGACATCTTCATGATTGAGAATCCATTTCTTATCCTATGGCAAAGAAAAAAAACCAGTTTTTTAGCCCAAGTAAGAGTACATTTCCTGTAAGATGCACTGAGGCATTGGAAAACAGACCGAAGGGGATACTTCATTCAAACCATTAAATCTATAGCACACTAAGAAGTTGTAACATCAGGAGGCTATAAAACAGATCTAAGATATGTTACTACACAACAGGATTTTAAAATCTACATTATAGCAAACTTCTATCAGAAATCTTCACTGTCCAAATAACGGTGTCCCTGTAACTAGAACATAGCATGCCCTTTTCTCTCCCCATAAAGCTTAGACTATGTTATTATTTGTCATTTCAAAAGAGCTGTGTCATAAGTACATGAGAGAATTTCATTTTATAATGCAAAATTTCCAATTCTCTCTTGATCATAGAGAATTCTTTTTGTACCCAAACCACATTACTAAGAGCTAATTTTTCCACATATAAACTGGCATGAGTTATAGCTGTTAATGACACTGCATGTAGTCCCATATCTTGCCTAAGTAATTTCCTATAGTGTAATAAACGAAACTAGGGTACATAAGACCAATGATGCAACCCATTATCCAATCTCAAGAACTAATTACTGCTTAGGGAACAGTTTATTATCTAAAAAATCTCATATATTAAACCATATAATGCCATCATGTTACAAAGGCATACAGATTTAAAAAAAAAAAAAAAGGAAAAGGAAATGAAGCAAGGGAAAGGAAGGGGGAGGGAGGAAGAAAGGGAGGGACGGAAAAATTGGGTTATGCAGGGGAAGAGTCAGAGAAGGAAAAAATCCCAGAGTGATATATTTTATTCAGGATTTGTTTTTAATTAATGTTAAAATGTAGTATTCCCCATTACACATGTTGAAATGTAATTATGATCTATAGAATGAGTTGTAGTAAGTAAATAAACATCTTGAAGTAAAAAGCCACCCTATGGGTTGAAATGTCCTGGACAGCCATTTGAAGTACTTTACCCTCAGAAACACCATATTACAAACATTCAAACATCACCCTCTGTTAGATCAACTGACTTCAAAAAACAACAATTTATATGTACAGTCTTTCAATCTAAATACAAAATTAAAGCTATAAAGGACCTGAAAGAAAACAGAGGAATATCTTCACAACTATGTGAGTAGGCAAAGACTCTGACAGACACAAAAAGCAATAACTATAAAATAAACAAATAATTGGAATTCATAAAAATTAGAGACACTAATTCTTCAAAGGCATCACTTTTTTAAAAATGAAAAGGTGAACTATAATCTGAGAGAACAGTGATTTGTATGTACAACATATAGAGAACTTACAAGATAACAACAACCCAACTTTAAGAAATTGGGGTTGGGGGCGTTTTAAGAGAGCAACCAAAGGACTTGTATGCATGCATATAAGCATAACCCATGGACACAGATAGTAGGGGGTGAGTGTATGTGCTAGGGGGTGGGAACAGCTGGGAATAGGTCAATGGGAGGAAAAGGAGACTTACGTAATACTTTCAACAATGAAGAATTTTTTTAAAAAAGGAGAAAAAATTGGGTAAAAAATTTTAAGAAAATAGATAATAAGCATATCAAAATATTTTTAACATCATCATTAGTCTTCAGTGACATACAAATAACAATTAGATGCTATTCCATACATATTAGAATATTAAAATTAAAAAGATTAACAATGCCACAAGATTGCAAGAATACAGAAAAAGTGGAGTCCTTATACAGTTAGTGAGTATGTAAAATGGTACAAGCCATTCTGAAAGACAATTTATATCTACTTTATGATTCAGAAATTATACTCCTAGATATAAAATCAAGAGAAAAGAAAACATGTACCCACAAAGGGACATCAAAAATGTTTGTGGCAGCTCTATTTATAATAGCCAAAAACTAGAAAAAATTCCAATGTCCAGCAAAACCAGAACTGACAAACAAATTTTTGTGTATTCAGACAATTAAATACTATTAAGCAATAAACTAGGGATACATACAACAGCAGAGCTTTTGCACAACTCTTTTCCATGGTCACAGAAGTACTTAAGTGAGAGCTGGGATAAGAACCTCAATCTTTGCCTCCTGTGACAGTGCTTAGCTTTTACTGTGCCAGAGAGACCAGTCAAAGAAGACGGAGTTTAAAATAAAACTGAGTAAATAATTTTCTGAGTCTAAATTATATACATATGTAAGTCATCTCAGGTAACTAAAAAGAAGGATCAAATAATAGAAAAAACATCTATAATCTGAATAAATACCATACAATTTTTAAAAATTCTTTAAGGTTTCCAGAGTCCTTCAACTGAAGTTGGAGCATACTCAAGGACATGCATTTTTTCTTAGATATTAGCATATTGCGTACCGCATGGAAATCTCTAAGACATACGCCAGGGACCGCATGTTTTTGGGCAAACTGCACGTTATTTAAATCATCATAATGCACTTTAGGTGTTGTTTTTCAATAATTATAGCATTTTTATTTACAAAAACAATTAAACAAAGTTCCTAGTACTTTTTTAACGTATGGTACTGCGTAAAACATTTTCCTCTATGAAGAGGGACCAAACAAAATTTATGTAAGTAGCTAGATTCGGTCCTTTTTCCACGGGCATGAAAAAACGAGAACACTCGTGAGCGGTCCTTAACAGATGGTGCGCGAAACACGAGAAAACTCCTGAGCGGTACGAAATGTGTTAATCTATGATATTACTCTATGATACATTGAGTGCTATGAAAGCCAATTCATGCCAAATTGTAGAACTATCCTAAAGTTGAAGAATTTCATATATGTAAAGTCTCATTTGGTCTATGACTAGTATCCTATATAATAAAAGAGAAACATGTAAATTGACCATCCCTCTGCTACACTCACCAGCCAATCAGGCATGATTACGCAAATTAACCTGACAAATATGGTGGGTTACTTTGCATAAACAGGCACCGGGCGGAGAGCAGAGCAGGAAAGGTGGCAGCTTGGGGGGACGTGGCTCCCTTGGTTGCTCCCCCAAGCTGCTGGGTGGAGAGCAGAGCAGGAGAGCTGGCAGAGAGTGGAGTGGCTTGGGGAACTTGGCTCCCCAAGCCACCAGACGAAGAGCAGACAGCGAGAGCTGGCAGCTTGGAGGACTTGGCAGAGTGGGAGGCCATGGGACAGAGACAGAGCAGGAAGGAAAACCAAGAGCGTGGGGAGCACCAGGAATTCTGGGAACAGTAGTTCTGGTGGCAGCCCCAGGACCTGAAGCAGAAGCCCAGAGCGCGGGGAGCACCAGGAATACTGGGAATCGTACTTCTGGTGGCAGACGGATCTTCTAGACCAGTAGTTCTCAACCTTCTGACCCTTTAAATAGAGTTCCTCATGTTGTGACCCAACCATAAAATTATTTTCGTTGCTACTTCATAACTGTAATGTTGCTACTGTTATGAATCGTAATGTAAATATCTGATATGGAGGATGGTCTTAGGCAATCCCTGTGAAAGGGTCGTTTGACTGCCAAAGGGGTCGCGACCAACAGGTGAGGACGGCTGTTCTAGATCAAAGTGAGCCTGGAGCAAGTTACTGCTGTGGTGGGGGATGGAGGGAAAGCAAAGGTGAGAGACATAAGTAAAATCAGAGTGTCTAAGAAAAATTAAAGGGAAGATATCCTAAAACTTCCAGGAAACCTCCACCAATGAAGAAAAAAAAATGCCTCTATTATTCTGTGAGCAACAAACCAAACTGGGTTGGGAGTCTCAGACAATTCGCTCATATGATTACAAAGACAGACAGAAACTCCCGGATTGAGAGGGCTCCCAGATTGGAGAGGGTGCAGGTCGGGCTGAGGGAATCTAATATAAAATAGATTCCCTAGTATCTAATATAAAATAGATTCCAAAATGATGTTTTCATTGAATTATAGAATTGGAAGGTCAATGAAGCAATTGTGAGATCTGAATCACCTTGAGCTAAGAACATATGGGCTTGAGGTAACTCAGAATGGGAAATATGGGAATGCTGCCGAGAGCGCACCCCGCATCTTCAGTAACACAACTCCTCCCAACCATCTCTATAGCAATAAGATTGATTCCAGCTTGCTCACTTCCCAGAACTTCAACCTGTTCTCTAAAGACATTGGACATAATAGTACAAATCCCAATCTCTATTGGGAGTGTAGTTCATTTATTAACAAGGATAGTTTTAAATACAATTTAAAAATATGGTTGTCATGGCAACATTTTCCACTCAAGGTTTTAGGATATGTCAAGTTTATTTGGATTCTGTTACAGAAAATCTTGTGGCTTCCATAGTTGGATTAGAAAATACTGAAGAGACTAAACCCATTAAATGTAGGAAGAAATTTGTTTAAATTTCAAAGGTAATATCAGCTGTACCTACTTAAATAAAGAAAAGAAGCAATTGGCAAATTCCAAATTTTTTAAACGATATTTTTTTATTGATTTCAGAGAGGAAGGGAGAGGGGGAGAGATAGAAACATCAATGATGGGAGAGAATCGTTGATCAGCTGCCTCCCGCAAGCCCCAAATTGTGGGAATTGAGCCTACAACCTGAGCACGTGGCCCTTGGCCAGAATTGAACCTGGGACCCTTCGGTCTGCAGGCCGTTGCTCTACCCACTTAGCCAAATCAGATAGGGTGGCAATTCTAATTTTAAAGTAAGCTTAACAATGAGAAATATTTAATGTAACATATAAATTCAATAGAGGTTTGTTTGTTTTAATTATTAAAATGATGTGGGTTTTCCAGGGTCCTATCTTGAGCTGTCTGGCCTGAAAAGCCTCTTTGCCTCCACAAAACAAATACTTTCATTTCCTGCCTCGACACAGGGAGCAGAGGCACTGACAGAGAGAATCCCACAATAAGCACCTGGTCCAGGTAGTACTCTCTCTTCCCTAGAGGAGGGGAATTCAGCCAACAAAACACCAACAGCCCTTGGGCCCCAGATGACTTCCGCTAGAGTGAAGCACCTGGCAGCCCAGCTAGAGGAAACTCTTCCCATCCAAATATAGCACTAATGGA